TGTCTGGAATATTGACTCACTATTTTCTCAGGAGTTACAGGTGATTTATAACCAGTTGCAAATTAACTACAAAGTTAACTTTGCAGATAGAGCTGAACATTATTTCATAACAGGATACAACAGCTTACAAGTCACCTTGCTGAGCAAGCTTCCCAGAGACAGCTATTAACATTACGAACAGCTCCAGTTTTTCCACACCCAATTTATTCATTCAACAAGCCTCCTGTAATGAACTTCTGGCCACTCAGCAATGGCCTGAATGCACTTGCTTTTCTGTGGACCAGTTCCCCAGATATGACTTTTACAGTTCAAATAAGGGTTAGCTCTCCTTCAGTTTATGCCAATGGTCAGTGTTTCTACTGTAACCTTTAAAAGTTCTGCAGCTTTGCCAGGTGCGGTGGCTCACACCTATAATCCTAGCACTTTGGGAGGCTGATGCGGGCGGGTCACCTGAGATCAGGAGTTCAAAACCAGCCAAACCAATAAGGTGAAACTCTGTCTTTAAAAAAAAAAAAAAAAAAAAAAAGAGTTCTGCAGCTTTATCAGCAGCATGAAAAAAAAAATAGAATTAAAAAAAAAGAGTTCTGCAGGAAGTTTCTGACAAAAACAAAAGTCACTGGCAAGTGTCTGAGGAAATTTACAGAAGACAGAGATCCTCCTTCTCAAAGGAAATAGTAGTCACTTACAGAGAAATTATAAGACCTCCTTCTAAATAAAATATTAATGAATTTTTAAGGGAAATCCCCTTTGGAATATTGCAAGATCATATAACATTAAAAGCATGTGGAAATGAGGACACAGAATTGTTCAGAGAAGTAACTAAAACAGAAACTTGAGAATTGCCTATCTCTACATTTGGATATCTAGAAAAGCTTTTGAAAAGTAATCTAAGGTCAGGTATGGTGGCTCACCCCTGTAATCCCAGCTCTTTTGGAGGCTGAGGAGGGGATCACTTGAGGTCAGGAGTTCCAGACCAGCCTGACCAACATGGCGAAACCCTGTCTCTACTAAGAATACAAAATTTATCTGGGCATGGTGCCAGGCACCTGTAATCCCAGCTACTAGGGAAGCTGAGACAGGCGAGTCAATTGAACCCGGGAGGCAGAGGTTGCAGTGAGCCAAGATGGCGCCACTGCACTCCAGATTGGTGACAGAGTGAGACTCCGTTTTGAAGGAAAAAAAAAGAAAAAAGGAATTTGCAAGGAAATTGTTCCAGTTTGGGGTAAATTGGGGTATTTTTGTAAAATGTTATTTAATGCCTATTTATTAAACTTTTTTTTTTTTGAGACAAAGTGTCACAAAGTCTCCTGGGCTGGAGGGCTGGAGTGCAATGGTGCGATCTTGGCTCACTGCTACCTCCACCTCCCAGGTTCATGCGATTCTCCTGCCTCAGCCTCCCAAGTAGCTGGGACTACAGGTACATACCACCACACACAGATAATTTTTTGTATTTTTAGTAGAGATGGGGTTTCACCATGTTGATCAGACTGGTCTCGAACTCCTGACCTCATGATCCAGCTGCCTTGAACCCCCAAAGTGCTGGGATTACAGGCATGAGCCACCACACCTGGCTATTTATTAAACTATTTACGTGCATACATTTTTTTTATACACATACATTTTTTATACACGTACATTTTTTTTTTTGAGATGGAGTCTTGCTCTGTTGCACACGCTGGAGTGCAGTGGCACAATCTCAGCTCACTGCAACCTCTGCCTCCTGGGTTCAAGCAATTCTCCTGCCTCAGCCTCTCAAGTAGCTGAGATTATAGGCATGCGCCACCATGCCCAGCTAATTTTTGTATTTTTAGTAGAGATGGGTTTTCACCATGTTAGCCAGGCTGGTCTTGAATTCCTGACCTCAGGTGATCCATCCACCTTGGCCCCAAACTGCTGGGAATACAGGCATGAGCCACCACAGCTGGCCTGGTTTACTGACTATAAATAGCTTAAATAGGGGGTTATCCAGATTCCAGAAAATAAAACAGATTTTTGGATAAATTAGGTAACTTTTGGTTCTTTTTGCACCATGAATCTAAAAACTTTGTTAGTTTACTTATCACTAATAGACCTGTCAAACTGTTGCTATAGAGCTTTCTACCATTGAGATATACAACCAAAGAAAAAGGATACTCAGTGTAATAAAGAGTTATGGAATGAGATACAGTGGATATATGACCCACCCTTTTGGGACTGCAGTGCCAAACTAGGAAATCACCTGTGTTTAACCAATCAGAACATCCTGTTTTTTATTTTTTAATAGACATGCCCTTGTATCTCGTCATTATGTTAATGGCTGGTAGCCATAAAACTTTTTTTTTTTTTTTTTTTTTTTACTCTTTCAGATTTGTAC